GGCCAACTAAATTTCTTGACTTCTAACAAGTAGAGCAACTTTTTCTAAGGATGTTCTCGCTGACAGATAACAGACCTCATCATGCTCTTGACTATGCAAAAACTAAAATCCAACCATCTCGATTTTGAGGCGCTGGCAGTTCGTCAAAATCATTTCGCGAAATGTTTTGTGGAAATGTTTTGAAATTTGACTCTGAATAGTTTGCGAAACCCTACCTATCAAAATCGAGAAGTATGTAGTCATTCGGCAGAGTTCCATCGGATATAACATTTCGTTCGAAGCGATCGTGGACTTTAAATTTAGGACTGATCTTATCAAAGATGAGAATTTTGTTGATTTGTTTGCTTCTATCTAAAAATTCCTATTTTTCTTGTTAAATATTTATTGGTTGAAGATTGACAACGAACGATCCATTTCAGATGAAAGATACGATATTCAAGAGGGCGTGTTCGTACGATGGGGGAATTCCCTGCTGGCAAACGAGCCGCTTAAAGACTTTCGCGATTTGGCCGATCTAAAGTACATTAGCATGATTGTTAATATTGCTACTGGCACACAACTCGTAAGTCCTTTAGGTATCCATAGTCTTTTATCGATTTTTCTATCGAAAACGATCAATAAATTGTACAAATCGAAAAAGTGTGTGTGCGCGGTTCGAAGTGACCAATGCTTTGCGTATTTTGCATACACACACACATATCCGAGATTCTGCGGTCGCCTGTCTCGTGATGGCGTCTTTTACACAGAGATTCCGCTAAGCGGCAGACAGGAGATGTGTATTGATTGAGAATCACTGGGAGATTGAGAGAAGCGACCGATACGAGCAACCTGACCGAGTGCTAGGTTGGGGCCAACATCGAAATGATCGGGATTAATCACATTACGACCTTGCGCTTGGGGACAACATGAACTTGAATTTGCGAAAAACAGATTGGAGGCTATTTCTCCGGTTAAAAGTGCTCTCTGAAGACATTAACAGCTAACTCTAAATGCTTCTATGAATATTTGTACACAAAGAACTACTTATTGAGCAAATTTTCTTTTAAAGCACGTCTCTACCACTACTGAACATTTTAATTACAACTCAACTCAATTAAGCAATATAAAATCTATACAATGTAAAAATGTTTATTAAAAAAGGGAAACTGGAATGAACTCTTTTTTATTCATCCAAGTTCTGTCCGAAATGCGAAACGCAAAATGCTGATTTGTCAGGAATTAGTAGATTGTAGTTCAAGAAAGAAAATTCTTTTCATTTTTGGCGTATCCTAAACAGTGAAAATGTAGTGAATGAATACTCCTGAACCTATGTACCTCATAAGGAAAACATATCTAACTGGTTTGAATCTCTACTATTTTCTTCACTAAATATACATTTGGAAGGGAATCAATGATAAACTGATGATCTTCCATGATTTCCCTAGAATAATGGAGAGGAAAAAGCATGCTTGTTTAACCTTACATTAAATTTTTTAAAATATTCCTTTCATTCTCTTTTGAATTAGGTCTACACCTTATACTTTCTTATTTATTCTAGAATTTCCTAAAGTTTCCGTCCAACTAGATATGCAGTCACAGGAAACAGATTTTTTGAAGATTTTTCTACTCATCTCCATTTCTATGAATCTTAAGACAATTACTGCATCTCCTTTGAAAATTCTCGGTTCTCACAACATTAACGCTGCGAGCGATTGTTCTGCAAATTATCCTAGGCTTACACAGCTTTGAAGATCGTAAACCTAACACGATGGCCGTTCTTTGAATCGCTAAATGGCCTCATGCAAAGAGAACTCAGCTTTAAAAGTCAAATTCCTGCAGAGGTGCAAGTGCATTGTGTCGAACCCGAAGAGCAGACGGAGCATGATGGATAAGCGATTGATTGCATAATTTTTGGGACTTTAGAGATTTTCCCAGCAACGTATAAGCGAGGAAAGTTACAGACAAGCTGGGAAAGACAAAAAGCGGCAAATAAGGCGTCTACTCCCCTAAATGCTGACCTATTAGCTATACTAAAATGCTCTTTAAAACTATTCGAAATTCATGCTTGAGCTTTTCTTTAGTTCTCAG